ACATCATTTTTCCATCTTATGGAGGGATTTATAACCTACATTTGATCTTATATTAACAAATTGATCTGCTCCTAAGAAGGAAGGTAAGTAGGATTTGCCAGGCCTAATTCTGAGTTCTCCCTTAAAAAGCCCAGCAGCCATGACTTCTACATGACCAAGGATGTCTATAGGAGTCATGATTAAAAGGAATCCTTGATCACATTTCAACCCTTGACAACAGCCACAGGATCAGTGTGAAGCAGTGGCGAGTGTGGTGTGTGAGCCGTTTTCCAGGACACCTTCAGGTAGGGAGCTGCTCACTGAATGTTGGAGGGGAACTGAACTCAACCTGGATTCCCAGGCCCTGATCTGTGTGAATCATCACGTGAAGGTAAGATTGAGTACAGTAAGAGTCTGTTTTTGGGAGAGGATGAGATTCAGAAGTCTGGTCTTGGTGTCCTGAAGAAAAGGAGCACATGAGGCATCCTAGGTCAGCTTCCCTAGCACAGAGGGCAAGGAACCATTGACCTGCTTGAATGAAGAACAGTGACATGAGAGACTACAGAGGTGTGAAAAGAGAGGTGCTATCTTCTTCTTTAATTTGGCATGCAGCTTCTATTCTGACTGTCTGATCCCTCAAACCTGGTGCATATTGAATTTGTTGGCCAGAGCTTCTTCCCTAAGGGATGACAGGCAGCTCCTGCTGTCACATACTTTGTAGAATCTTGAGCATCTGGTGAGTTCCATGTGCACAGAACAAGCTGCAGCTTGCTTACTGCATGAGAGCGATTTTCAGTTTGTGGGAATCACCTGTGCTCAGGCCTTGTTTCTCTTGCAGATGAATGATGCCAGGGAGGAGAAATGGTTGAAATTCAGGTAAGAAGACAGGGAAATTTCCCGAATGCACAACTTACATTTTGTTTTTACAAGGGATATCACTATGTGTCCTGGCTAACCTGATCCTCTCTATGTAGAATAGACAGATCTGAAACTCAAACTTATCCACACCTGCTTCTTCTGCTGTGTGCTGCAATCACACATGTGTACTGCTGTTCATGGCTTCAAGGTCTGTATAGCATCAATGGTGAATTCCTCCAAACATGTGAGGTGAAATTGTTCCTATTCTGATCTTTTTCATCTTGACAGGTTCATGTTTTACCTGAAGGAACATTCAAGCAGGCTGGACTTGAAGCAGGGGGCTAACTGCAAATGTGACCTACAAAAAAGAGTCTGTGACCCCTATGAATAGAACCTAGAGGTGAGAAGTGTTGTCATCAATTCTTTTGTAGATAAAAGACAGTGAACTGAAGGAGGTGTGTCCTAGCTGGTAGATCATTGGAAATGTAGCACAGAGTGTTAACTTGTAGCACTAACCTCCTTTCCACAGGATCTCCACCTGCAGTCCAGTTACCAGTCACATGACTTTAATTTTGAATTTTGAAGGAAAAGCTTTTACTTCAAGGACACTAATGGTAGATGCACTGCAGACAGCTACTCATTCTAGATAGGAGCTTCTAGTTGTCCTCATCCAACACAAGCAAGCAGTCCACTTCCTTGCTGAATTTCATGGATAGTCTTGTCCGGCCCCACCATTGCTGTCTTTACTTGTCAAAACCTGTTTGGTTGCAATTTAGGCCATTGAACCTTGTTCACTGTTGCCAGTTCATGGGGAGTCCATGGCTGCCAGGTATCCTGATGCTGAACCAACTAGGATTCTGGGCAGGACACTCTGGACTGTGAGAGTAGAGGTGATCATTCCCTGCCCCAATGCACTGTGGAACATCCAAGGAGAATACAGTCCCAGGTCCTTCATGTCCTGTTGTTTATGTTGTGGTTCCTACAGAGCTCAGATTTACATAAGACCGGAAAGAGATGGTTGTCTTTTGGGACTTGCTTCACACATAGAATACAGTCATCTTAAGATGCACTGTTTTCTAGACAATTTCAAATACTGACAATGAATATGTGCTCTTTGCCCCACATCCTCTACATGTATTAATTTCATCTTTGTTTGTATTTCAAACTGTCATCTCGTGACTGCATTTGGCACAATAACTTGTTTCTCTATGTGGGTAGGACATTTTCAAATCTGACTTCAAAAACACCTTCCCACACTATTCCCAGCTTCTATTTCGAGTGACTTAGTTGAGTTGGAGAGCATGAGAACATGGGATACACTGGGAGTAAGAGACAATTTGAAGAGGGAGGATTTAGAGAGGATGGGAGAGACAGAATGGAGTCTCCATGGGGAGAGGGATGTGCAGTGGGGTAATAACAGTGGAGACTATGTGCTGCATATTTAAGATTCCCTGTCCATCTTTTCCACATGTCCTTGTGTTTAAAGTGATGAACCCTATACATCAGGAGCCACAGGCTGGAGATTTCCAGCTGTGGTCTGAAAGAGCAGAAGTAGGAGCTATGCAGGAATTACAGATGGCAGTGTGCGCAGTTACCCAACATGTAGTGTCTGTGTCCAGACCAGGAGGAGGTAAGCCATCTACCACATGTTTCTCCACAATTCTCAAGGAAGAATATTTCCAATCTGGCCTTCCTCAGAATTTGTAGTAACGGGGTCCTGAGCCAATACAATATCCAAGCTAGGCATGAATGTACATAACCTGTGGACCACTCTCCAAGGAAACACCTCAGCAATACTCATTAATCTGTACATCCCTTCAGGTTGTTCTCCTGGTGAAATCATTCCCCCCATGAGGACAAATGAAGATCCTTCCCTTGTTTCCTCCTCCTCGCAGAGAACACACAGTGGTTTTTCCATCTAAGTAGGAATCCATCAACTCAGACCGTGAGAGTTTGTGCCTCATTTCAGACATGTGTTCCCTGCTCACAAAGGAGTGACAGTGTGTCTTTCTTCACCTTCAGCTGTCCTGTCCCTCCTGCATGCTACAAACAAGGAGTCAGTCCTGAACACCTGTGTAGTACACTGATTCATATTAAGTACTGAAGATTCTGAATTAACCTGCGTTGCTAACTTCTCTGGGATCACCGGCTTCTGTTGAGAGGACAAACAGAGAACACTACTCATTTCCAGTTTTCAGTGAGTCTTCTAGATCCCCACCTTTCTCCCAAACTCTCCCCTTCAAATCAACATTGTGAATGAACCTCAGAATCTCCGGGTTCAGTGAACACAGGCTTAAAGATCTTCTACTGCACTGGCTGTCCCAGGGTCTCCCCTTACCAGAACTGAAATGCTCAGAAGACTTTAGACTATGGGGTAGCTTGATCCTTGTGTGTAGACTACACAAGAGTGGTAAGAAAAGCCGAGGCCTAGGGCTATATATCCATGCTATCCTGGTGGCTGTCCCAGTAACCAACTGAAACTGACATGAGCCTGATCTGCCATTTAGAGGCCCTACAACTGCTTTGACAGTCCTTGAACTTTCCTTGAATCAGAACTCCATCTTCCCTAACTGAATTCCATCCTCCTTAGTACCTGGTATGTAATAGGCCATGGCTAGTATCTATCCACTATTTTACACAAAAACAATGCTCAGCCCATGCATCCCAAACTGCATTGGAAAATGCTTACAATCAATAAGGACAACAAAATGGAGCCTCAACAAAGATCTTTTTTTTAAACATGATCAGGGTCAGTCATGGAGCCCATGTTCTCAGAGTTAAATGATGGGTGTAGGAGACAAAAACAGAATGAGGATGTGTAAGGGCCAGGGCATTCTGAATATGTAAGGACTTTGGCTCACTATAGAAATGTGCGACAGTTTTCACTACTGCTACTTAGAGCAGACAGGAACATGTCAGAGTCACATGAACTGACAAACTGCCAGTGATGGCTTAAGTCTCATGACCACCAGGAATGGGATTGTTAATATGCTCGGAGATGTAGAACATCACAATGTCAGCTGTCTGCTGTCCTATGAATGTCACACTCTAATTGTCAACATAAAGACATGACCCTGTTTGTAGTTATGGTGATATCAGTCAGGAAAATGTAAAATTACTATAGACATTGAGGGCTGAAATGATAGTCTGTTAAAAACCCACATACATTCTGCTGGAAGCAGTTGATATACCTGTGTCCATTACTCTGAGAAGCTCAAAGTTTCTCCTGGCTATCAGAGTAAGTTTTTCCGTTACATTTATTACTATTTTTGAAGGGGCAAATGCTCATGAAAGTGGGTTGATGTTGAATGTCATCACTGTCACATAGGTTTGTATATTCCATCCCCACTAGGCTCTTCTGCTGAGAAAACTATAAAATAAACCAGAAAATGTTAGGTGACTGGAGGAACAGGGGATGAAAATGCCATGTAACAATGTGTATTGCACTCCTGATGTCCATCCCACAATTTTCCCTGTTGTGTTGCATTAGGCCCTTGAACATCCGAGGTTAAAGAACCTGCTCCATCATTAGTAAGTCGTTTAAAACTATTTGTTCACAGCCATTGGAAGTATTAGTCTAGTTGATCAAAATAGAAAGTAAGAGCAGGAAACCACAACAATTCACCGTGGGCTTTGCTGAACTGTGATTGGTCTCTTGCATGAACTATCACAAAGACTAATTGTGAGGTAAGCTAGATATCAGGCCATGTGAAGTGCTACCTGAGCTGTGTTTTGTCCTTGTACTACAATGGATTTGTTTGGTGAGTGAGCATTTGGACTCAGTCATTTTTCACAGAGTTGGGCTTTCCAAGCCGTTTGTCTCTTGAAAAGTGAGAACTGCAGCATCACCCTAGGCATGGCAGCAGTTTGCTGAGAAAACGTGGTGTAGGTAGCACTTCTCTCCTCTCTGATACAAAACACATTTGAGGAGGAACAATTAGAATCTAAGAGGGTAAACATTTTCTCACACATATATTATGATAGCAATAAGATATTATATATATGATATTCTTCCTATATTCCTGAGTGACATATTCTATGTTGCATTTCTAGCCACGAGCATGAATGGTCACACTTGCTAGCAAGCAAACAGGCCCAGAGACAATGGACTGTTTGCTGCTGGTACCTAGCTGGTGTGTTTTTCAGTAGCTACCAGTAAAGCAGGCTTCAGTCTTGATGCCCTTAACTGACACCAATACCTGGGCAAAGGACCTACTGTGGCAGTTCATGGAATCTCACAAGAGACAGCTCAAGTGGACCAGGGGCTCCAACCCCATGTGATGGTCTCTAAGAATGTGAATTTCAGAATGCAGACATAATGCCCAAGAGGACAGACATGCATAATGTGCACTTTTTATATCTCTGGCCATGGGAGGGAGCATATTGTGTTACCTGAGAGAAGTGAGCTCATGATGAGTCTCACAATTTAACACCCTCCTTCTTCACTGCCTGCCTGATGGATGGTACAGGAACAGGGGAGTCAATACCAGCTATTCATACACACATCTTTACACACCCTACTTCAACTTTGTGAGTACCGTAATTCTCTTTTTTTTTTGGTTTTTCCAGACAGTGTTTCTCTGTGGCTTTGGAAGCTGTCCTGGAACTAGCTCTTGTAGACCAGCCTGGTCTCGAACTTACAGAGATCCTCCTACCTCTGCCTCCTGAGTGCTGGGATTAAAGGCGTTCGCCACCAATGCCCGGCTTTTAATTCTCATTTTTTTTTATCAATGTGTGTGTGTGTGTGTGTGTAGAGAGAGAGAGAGAGAGAGAGAGAAAGAGAGAGAGATATATAGAGATAGAGAGAGAGATTTGTTTCATATATGGAGTTTGGATGAATATGTTTTATTTTATTTTTCAGGTTGATTTATTTCCTATAAATTCAGACATTGTGATTGGAATCAAACTTGAATCTCAAGTCTCGGTAAGGGCTTTGTTTTATTTTATTTTCACCAGGTTTTTTGTTAGGTGATGCTTTCTAAAAGGGTTGCTGCAAACTATAAATACAACTACAGTGTAACAAATCCAAGGATACCATTTTAGATGACACATCAGTTGGTAAAGGAGCACACAGACTGAAATCTTTGGCTACTTGGTGCAAAAGGACCTTCTGGGAGGTTTTGCTGAGTAACTTGGAATTCGAACACTGAATTTAATGTAGACTTTTCCACTGATGGTTTCCGTGCATAGAACTTAGGCTTATTTTCAACTTTTTCCTACAAGATTGTGGGAAGGGATCTAATATATAGCTTTCCATATTTCGGTAACATGTAGGATAGCCTGAGAGGCCATAGAGAAGACCTGGAAGAAATTAAAAAAATACTTTTGCTCCTTAGCAGATCTCAAGAGCCTGAGAAGAGAAATGGGAGTCAGGAACACATGTCTTTATGGAGTACTTTCCCCAAGTAGAAGAGGCTGATTAAGGAGTAGGGTAAGTCCCTGCCTAGATTTCAGAACCATTATGCATGCTTTATACTGTATTTTCCCAACAGATGTAGTAGGCAATATTTTAGCTACACTGATTCTGTAACTGTGATTGCTTCTCTGTACTGACTGCAGTTACAGATTGTTTATTGGTGAGGCTGCATTCTGAGAATGCATCATTAAACAATTTCTTCACTGTGATGACATTATAGATTGTTTTTTTAAATTTTATTTTCCAGTTTAAATTTAGATAAGAAACAAGGTTGCTTCACAAGTCAGTTCCAGGTCCCTCTCCCATTCCCTCCCTTCCTCCCGAGCCCTCCCCTGCCCCCCGTTATCCCCTCATTTCCCCAGGGAGGGTGAGGCCCTCCATGGGGGTGTGCATAGTCTGTCATTTCATATAGGGCAGGGCCTAGACCCTTCCCCAAGAGTTCGGGGTGAGAGTGCACCTCACATTGTTCTATGGGAGTCCAAAGTCCGTGTGTATACTTGGGATGGGTACTGATCTGCTGCCCAAGGCTCAATAGATTCCCTAGGCCTCCTCACTGACACCCAGATTCAGGGGGTCTTGATCAGTCCCATGCTGGCTTCCCAGGCTGATGCCTGGGATTCAAGAGTTAACCTTTGTCTGGTCAGCTGTTTCTGGGGGTTAAACCAGCCCAGTCTTAATCCCTTTGATCATCAGTCCTCCCTCTCTGTTACTGGCTTTCTTGAGTTCAGCTCAGTACTTAACCAAGGGAGTCTGCCTCTTCTTCGATCAGCCACTAAATAAAGTTTCTGTTTCCCAGACTCTCTGGCCATAGGATTGTAGGCTGGCACTCCCCAGATCTATGTCTAAAATCCATATATGAGAGAGTACATGCCATGTTTCTCTTTTTGTGACTGGGTTACCTCACTCAGGATGGTTTCTTCTAGTGTCATCCATTTGCCTGCGAATCTCATGATTCCATTATTTTTTTCTGCTGAATAGTACTCCATTGTGTAGATGTACCACATTTTCTCTATCCACTCTTCAGGTGAGGGACATCTAGGTTGCTTCCAAGTTCTGGCAATTACAAATAAAGCTGCTATGAACATAGTGGAACAGACATCTTTGTTGTATGAATGGGCATCTTTTGGATATATGCCTAAGAGTGGAGTTGCTGGGTCTTGTGGTAGGTTTATTCCCATTTTTCTGAGGAATCTCCATACTGCTTTCCAAAGTGGCTGAACCAGTTGGCACTCCCACCAGCAATGGAGGAGTGTCCCCCTTTCACCACATCCTCTCCAGCATAAATTGTCATTGGTGTTTTTGATTTTAGCCATTCTGACAGGAGTGAGATGGTATCTCAGAGTTGCTTTGATTTGCATTTCCCGGATGGCTAAGGATGTTGAGCACTTTCTCAAGTGCCTCTCAGCCATTTTAGACTCCTCTATTGAAAACTCTCTATTTAGTTCTGCAGCCCACTTTTTAATAGGGTCCTTTGGTGTTTTGGAGACTTGCTTCTTGAGTTCTTTGTAAATTTTGGAGATCAACCCTCTGTCAGATGTGGGATTAGTGAATATTTTTTCCCATTCTGTGGGCTGCCTTTTTGTCTTGCTGACTGTGTCCTTTGCCTTACAGAAGCTTCTCAGTTTCAGTAGGTCCCATTTATTAATTGTTGATCTCACTGTCTGTGCTACTGGTGTTATGTTCAGGAAGCTGTCTCCTGTACCAATTCGTTCAAGGGTACCACCCACTTTCTCTTCTAAGAGGTTCAGTGTGGCTGGATTTATGTTGAGGTCTTTGATCCA